TGTAGTCGATGCTGGTGAGGTTCAGCCTGCTGGCAGCCTGGCGCAGTTCTGTGGCAGACAGCATCAAGTCGACACGCCGGGTGCTGGTAGCCAGAGGAGCGTCCTTCCTTCCCACAAACTCTTCAGCAGTCTGAGAGATGGGACAAGGTGCAAAGAGGGGCTCAGCACATGCTGTGGAATGCAGGATGGACAATATCTGCAGGAAGGGCTGAACTGCTCACCAGGTCGCCAAACTGGTTCATGGCCATCTCGTAGGCCTCCTGCCCTTCAGCGTATCTGCTGTTGTGATCCTCAATAGCTCTGTAGTTCTGCTCCCAGATTTCTCTTCTCTGCAGCGGATGTGCCTTAAGGAACATATTCCTGTCAGTCCTACTTTTAAAGTTGGTATTTTTACTGTTTTCCGCGTCTCCTTATAAGTGTCTAAGATGCTGAATAAAATGCTTAGCTTACATGGCTCTGAGTGAAAAGTGTCATAAACTCAGAAGATAGCATTGTCAGGGGACTTTGTGTTACGGGAAGGCTGGCTTTAAAAATAAGCATCAGTTTGAAAGACTCCTGTGAACACCTATTTAAAACAAGTGAAATAGCTTTTCAGTTTTCTTGAAGTGTTTTTGAGGTTTAATATTTTGCACAAGGTAAAAGTGAAGTCGATATCCTAAGTAATGGAAACAGTATTTGCATTTAATATTATACATTTCTTTTAACTTGTATGCTGTATATCCTGTACCTTAAATACTGAACTAGTTTAATATATACTTAACCATGCATAGATTCCACACATACAGTACTTAACCAATTAATAGATTCAAAACTAATAGTCATGCCAGAACTATATTTCTTTTTGCAAAGATGCTACTTAAAATGTACCTGTGTTTGCTCACATTTACTTATTTACCTTGAATGTTCCTTTTAAACCCCTTAATTTCAGCACTATGCTCCTAGACACCCATTCCTTTACTTTTCCCTATAGGTTCATTTTTGTACTGATGCACACATGTACCCCACATTGTACTACTCTCAATCCCCATCACTCACCTCCCTAGAGGGGTTCCCGAATTCCTCCTGCCAGGCCTCCCACTCCGAGTCCAGAGCAGGATCTATACTGTTGACCATGTGAAGGCAGAAAGACACACTGGCCAGGATGCTGAAAGCTTTCATGGTGGACGTGCTGAAGAAGAACAGAGTGACACAGTCCCAAAAGAGCAGTTTCTGTACCTCAGCACCGATCTACAACCATTGCTACTCTCCTTAGTGCTGGTCTGCTGTTGTACAGTGCAGGCTAGCTCATTTTGCATTTCTATACTGTATCAGGTGCCAGCTCCTGTATAACTCAACACAAATGACTGCACTTCTGTTTTCTCCTTCTACAGTACAGTTACTGGTTGTGCTTTCTGTGTAAACACACCAGATCACATTTCAGTTACAGCACTGAAATGAATAAAATCTAATGAAATACAGTCTTATTATTTAACAAAACAGACCAGAAATCTGCTAATGGGTTTTTTACTTCAGGTGAGGTGTATCTGTTTTCTCTAATAAACTGTTGGCTGTGAGATCAGATCCCTAGCCTGGCCAGGAAATACCTAGGCAGGAAAATCATTAGCCACGTTCATTTAAAATCAACCATTATCAAAACAGAATTTGGAATGATATTTGGATTTTGAAGGGAGAACTTGTGTTATGTTCTCATGCTGGTGAATTCCATCAGTTCAGTTTCTGCCTTTATATCCAAGAGTCCAGCCTGCAAAAGAATTTTTGAGTGAAGACGAATCTCCAGGAGTATCGTCATCTCTCACCTTGTGTTGAAGTCCACTCTTCTTCCACGTCTTCAAATGTTTCAAATGCTGGCAGTTTTCCTTCTTGTAGAGCTTGTCTGCTTGCCTCTGTACTCTGCCAGAATGAAGGACTGAAGGAGACACTTTTATACCTTATTGGCAGCTAGAGGAGATGTCTCGTGAAGGTCCTATAGTCCACAGAAAGCCAACCGTTGTGGTAAAAATAGATATCTTCATTAATCACCCCTAAAAGTGCTGAGGGAGGGGTGCGCTTCCAACAAGATAATCGATCTATTCAAAGTCTCCAGCTGAAGGAAATATTTTAGTTTATCAAATTCTACTGTCAGTGCTTGTATCTGTGGCCAAAATTTAGAGATGGCATCCTTGTCTCCTGTCTGAATCACAGAGATATAACAGGAAACCAGACAGCCTCCTTTTACAAGAACATCTGTCTGTGCCAGCCATTAAGGTCTCTAAATAGAGCTCTTATCTTTTTCAAAGAGAAATAAAACGTACTCAGCGATAGTTTAAGAAAATATGATACAGAAACTGGGAAGGCTAATTATGCACTTCAGGGTGAGGAAACCAGTAGATTATCTTCATCCACGATTTGGATAAATTTAGAAAGCGCTGAGCTGGGTGATGGAAAATCACAGAGCTGCAGTATTTCTGCAGTGTTTGATGTACACTATAACGTGAAAGGAATAAGTGAAGCCAAACAATGGACAGGGGCTTCTTCAGTCTGTTTGAAATGGTTCTATGAAGGAGTGAATCAGAAAACTGGTTGACCTTTCAATTTCAAGATGATTTCTTACTTCACTCTTACCTCATATTTTCAGGAACAAGCAAAATTCCAACACTGAAACAATTGTTGGAATTGTTGGAATTGTTGAAAAGAATTAAAACAATGGTAAAGAAGACTATTAAGGATACTATTAAGAAACAATAAAGGTTATAAATGAGAAGAAATTGGTCTCATCTGGCCCATTTGGAATTTAGTAAATTACTGATCACAGGATCTCATTTAAGGCCATTTCTTGAAGGAAGCCAAAGTATTGGCATCAGCCACAGGTCTCAGTAGCCTGTTCCACATTCCCACCACAGGTAAAGAGGTGCCTCCAGAATTTAAATGCACCTTAATTTAAATGTAAGGTATGTGAATGCTGTTAGGTTGCTAACACAACCTGAGAAATGGAAACTGAAACTCAAGCTACTTCTAATTAAACCTACTCCTGAAACTGGCATCTTATATCATTTTTCACACACCTGCTTTTGGCATTTGACTTTATCCATAATGTAGTCCGATACTA